GAGAGGGAGGGGAGGGGGAGGAGGAGGGGGAGAGGAGATCAGGTTTCCATTCAGGATGATGGAACATTCTGGAAAAGGTGTTGTGGGTATTTTATTGACATGTAATAACTAACCATATTTGTAGGCTGTGGTGATATTGACATCCAGAATTTTATAATCTCACGTGTGAGGACGTGAGTTTTATGTCCATGTGTATTTTTTACTATAATGAAAGCCAAAACCAAGAAAGCAGGACGTTGTCCCAGTCCGCTGCAGTAGCACCGTCCACAGAATGGGTTTCATTTTGGTCATCAAGACTCTGTTGGCCAGGGGGACCCCAACGAGGTTGAGGATATGTGAACACACCATGTTGCTGACTCCACTCTCCCTCCACATTCGATCCTCACAGAATTCTCTGAACCCTTAACTCTATGCACCTGGTGTGTCTAGTTCTCTGGGGCTTTGGGAGACCTATTCAGTCCTTGCTTCCCCAGAACCCCCAGAATCCCTGACTCACCAGCCCTGGAACTGTCCCGTGGGTCCTTGGTGCCTTTGTTAGTGCGTTCATGGGAGCGGCTGGGGCTCTTGGGCTTCCACTGCTCTCCAGGTTACTCTGCAGAGTCCTCTTCATGACCTCCAGTTACATATTTCTGAGTTGGCAGTGTCACCTGACAGCACTGCAACCCTCAGCTAAGATCTGGGCTCCCAGGGGCTCCCCAGGTAGCTTGGGACAAAGTGTCTGCTTCCGTTGGGACCTGGGTCCTAGGTGGCATCTGGAATATTTATTTTCATCCAATCAAGGTAATGAGGACTGCAGGTGAGGACAGTGGGGACTCTGAAAGGTGGGGAAGGGACTGGGTCCCCTCAATGGCCCACACCTTTCTAGCTGGAACAGATCTGAGCCTGGACACTACTTGTGTCTTCCCCACCATCCTAGGAATGAAGGCCCAAGAAGGGATACCCCCATGTTGTCTACAGTAGCCGATGGGTAACTGTGGTATTCCTCAGCCTCCCTGGGTCTCTGAAAGGCCCTGCTCCTGTCCTGTGTCTTTGTCCAATGGATAATGAGGCTGGGTGTCAGGGGCTCCGTCCAGGATCCCATAGAGAGACGCAGGAGTGGCTTGCAGTCTGGAATTCATGACTTCCCTGAATGCTGAGGGCTTAGCAAAATTCACCTGGCTCAAGTCTTCCTCCACTCTGAGCTACAGGATTCACTGGGTTGGCGTGCTAGCAGGAGAGTGGGAAGCCATGCCGAAGTGTGAAGCTGAAACAGGCTGGGACACTGAGCAGTCTGAGGCCCGTGTTCTGTAGGCTGTTCAGTCAGCTCATCTCTGAATACTGCTTATCTACTGACTGGGATGCTGAACAATGTTCCCAAAAGGAGGAGATAGAGGGCCACCTTGCAGTGGGCTCCTGGGGCACTTGGTGGAACACTGGAGCATGTGAGGCTGCCTGGGTTCTCATTCAGCTGTGCCTCTGCTGAGTGCCCTCAGGAAGACCTCTTCTCCTCTCTGGGCTCCACTTTCCTCATATGTTAAATGGGAGAATGCCTGCTTCACAGGGTTGAACGCAGAGCAGTTTGACCCCTATGTGAGGCCTGGTGCCCAGTGACGGTAAGGGCTGGATCAGGGTTGCTGCAAAGGCTCCCTGGCCACGTCAAACCGAGTGTGGTCAACAGGTGAGTTTAAAGTCATTGGTGGAGCTGGGTGGGATGAATCTGAGGCCTTGGAATCCTTTGCAGGGGCTGAGTGGATCATGGGTAGGGACCACGAGGCTGACAGTGGCTTCTGGTGACCTGGGCTGTACAGTTTGAAATGAAGCATCATTTTGAGGAGCGGGATGAGAGGAGGGTTAGGGAAGGGAAAGAGACACTGAGTACACAGCTTCAATTTCTCCTCCACAGCTGGCCCGGTAGCTGGACACTGGGTGAGCCACCCGGACACAGCTGAGATCAGCCTGAGACCCTGTGCCAGCCTCATCTCCCCTTTGCTCTGAGGGCTGTTCTATGGGTCTTGGCTTTCCAAGCCAAGGCTGGAGGACTCTGGGAAGGGAAGATTCCCAGATGTTCAGCCAGCCTTCTGTCCTCAGTCTCAGTTCTATCGAAAGATGGTCTGTTTCTCCAGTTGAGTTAAGGGTTAGATAGCATGTTAGAATAGATTCAATGGATGGTAAAGCAGTCTACGAGGGTCACAGTTAAGGTATGTATAACTCCCCGGAATCTAGAACCTTTCCTTCTCCCTCCCTCGGGAGATGACTTTCCCTGTTCTGTTTCTGCCTTAGCAACTGTCTCATCAGCACAGAGGCTTGGTGGGAAACTAGAGCCATGAGCAAGTTGAAAGGCAGAGTGGAGAACCATCTCAGTGTGGCTATTTGACACTTGGTCAATGTAAGTCCCTGCAGTCACCTGAAGGGGGGGCTTTCCCTCTCTTCCTAGCCCACCCATAAACTCCTAAGTTGATGTAGAAGCCACTAGTTCATTTCTCTCCCAGTGTTCTCCCCAACCCCCACCTCTACTTAAGGGCATGCTCCTGTTTGAAGAATTGGCAGGGAAGGGCACTCCATGTATCTGCCAAGAACACCTTCAACTCGGCTGGCTCAGCGGGGGCTGTGAAGCTCTCTGGCCACAGCCATCTCAGTCTTCTCCTGTCATCTCTTGTCACGCCCCCTTGTATGCAACTGTGTGCATTCATGTGTATGCATAAGATGGCTGTCCTCCCTGGTCAGAGCCCCAGAGGCATGGCCCAGGCGACACTGGGACCTTCATGGGGGGTTCCACCCACCTCCTCTGTGCTTCCTTTCTCTGATGACTCTGTGGCCCCATGGGTGTGGCAAATGCAGGGACACTCCTGTCTCTTGGGAGCAGCTCGGATCAGTGAATGAGGGAGGGTAAAAGTTGGCTCCCTCGTCCTGTGTCCCAGGCTCCTCTGCAGGCCAAAGGCCCAGCTGCCTGCCATGGTGCCTGTACGCCATCCGCCTTTCCCTTTCTTGCCTCCCTTGGCCTTACCCCTCTAGTCCTGCCTTGAGAGTGCGCTGGCCACCATGTCTCTATGTGTGCATCTGGGAAGACTCTAGCTCTGTAGGCTGCTCAGCCTCCCTAACTGCTGCCTAGTTCTCCACAGAACTGGGCCCCGATTCTGCCTGGTCTCATTGCTGAGGTTCTTGTTAGGCTGTCCCCTGTCCATGATAACTCTCCCTGCGTGGTAACCTGCATGGAAGCCCACAGCTCTTCTCTTCAGGTCTCCCCTCCTTGCCAAGAGCTGTTATATGACAAGTATTGTTCACACCCATACCTTCATGTCTGAAGTCCATGGCCTGCCTCTGGCCCTCTGGCCCTCAGGCTCATCCTGAATCATATGAGATGTCACACAGTGGCCCCTACCGGCTACTTCTCAGAGGCCACCCTCTGGTTTGCTCCCAGCCCCAGCAGAGTGCACGTCTTCACAAAGGTAGTTGAAAAGATAAATATGATTTATATCACCCCCACCTCAGTCCTGCTGTGGCTCCTCAGCCCTCCCACCCAGTGAGGACTGGGCCCTTCCAAGCCTGGGAGCAAGGGCTTTGTCAGTTGTCCCAGGAGCCACCTGTCACCATTCAGGGCACTTGAGTAGAGAGGCCCTTTCTCCCTTTACCCAGCTTGTGGGCATGTTCAAGAGGCCAGCTACTGAAGCCAGTGGCCTGGGTACCCAGGGGCCACTCCTTCCTCATAGGCTGGGTCCACTCTGGTTCTCCCTCATAGGCAACTCAAGTCCCCTTCCTGACCCCCATCTTCTCACAGGTTAGACAATATCCAGATATGTGAGGGTTTGGGGGTGAGGGGACTGTTGCTGTCATTGGCTAAGTGACAGAAAGCTGGATTGGCCTGCAGAATAGTAAACATCTAAAGGTGCAAGGCAGCAGAGCAGCAAGGCAGGGCTTTCCAGTGGCAGTGCCATGTTGCTGATGACGTTCTGGTGGCTCAGGAGTGGCTTCTAGGGAGGTGGAATGCGGTCTGATGACTTTTCCAGATTTCTAAAGCTATCTCCAGGTCTCCTGACTGGACCATGTGGCGTTGGTTCTTGGTAGCATCTCAAGGCATCGCTAATACTCAGAGGCTTTACACTTTCAGAAGAGAGTTTCCCATGATGCCCCAGGGTAACAAGAGTCCTCCCAACAGCTGCTGAAGACGACAGATCCTCAGTGAGCTGCTCTGGGAGAAGACAGCTCATTAAACTGCTGCAGGGTTAGCCCCCAGTGCCCATTTCAACTTTCCAGTGAGAATGGACAGCAGAGAGCCAGATGCCGTGAGCCCACCCCAGTGCTATGAGCTATTGTCCAGTGCTATTGTCCATGGCTGGGCGGGCTCTCAGGTCTGCAGCCCAGGGACAGGGATGGGAAGGCTGCCTGCCTCTGCAGACAGGCTTGCTAGTGAGCTTGCATCATTTCCCCGACCTCAGGTCTTGGGAGCTGCCCTGTGGCCTGAGGCTCACACCGCTGTGGATTGCTTGATGCTGTGAAAGCTGACCCTGGTGGGGGAGGTGGGGATGGACATGGCGCGGGCCACTCGGGCTCTGATAGAGTGCTTGTCCTGCCACCGACGCCACCTCTTCCGGATGGCAGAGCGGACCTGTGGGCACAAGATAACACATCAGAGCTCAGGCTCAAGACACTCCTCTCATCCCTGGATCCTCTAGGTCACTACAGTCACCTACCAGGTGTGGTGACAGGTTCTATAGTCGGTGGTGACATTCACATAATTACTTCTATTGTTTTGCTGCTTGTTGGGCCAGTTTTCCCAAATTGGGAAGGGACACCTTTTTTTTTTTTCCAGTCTAACAGAGGTGCCATCTTGGTTTTGCTGTACAGAATCCCTACCCCTGCCCGACTCTGTCTAAGGCAGAGGCCCTATCTTCTAGCCATCCTTACCTCACTGTTCAGAAAACAGTAGAACACAGACACGAAGAAGCCCTGAAAGGAAGAGGGTGGTCAGAGGTGAGTGGGGTCCTACCAGCCCAGGCTGCCCCAGCCCTGCCTCCCCCAGTCCACCAGGCTTCTTCCAGAACAATCCCCGCCCATACGAGTGCAAATCTGACTCTCCCAGAGCTGGAGTGGCAAAGCTCCGGAAGGATGGAGATACCTGAAAGGACTCCAGGAAAGAGTTGAAATAGATGAAGACAACCCTGGAGACCTCATCCTCTCCAGGGTTGACGAAGAACAACATGTAGGTGATGCCCAGGAGAGGCAGGAGCACCAGAGTGGCCTTCACAGCCTTCCTAGGGTGGAACAGAGGCCAGAGTCACAGGCTACCATGGAGGGGTGGGGCTGCTAGCTCGAGGGAGAGTGATGGGTTTGGGAGACCATCTCAGGCATGTCTGGGCAAGGTGGAGCTGCAGTTTCTGGGTTGACTGGCTGGCTTGGAAGAGATCTGGTTCAAAGGAGCCACTGGAACCTCTGAAGTATCCCTGGGGAGCCAGGTACCTGTACTGAATAGTCTCAGATGTGGTGGATGCCCGGAGTTTGGTCATGAGGATGCGGACAATGTTGAAGAGAAAGATAAAGTTGATCTGCAATTGGAGCACACCAGAAGGAGTGAGGATGGGTGTCAGGGGTGAGGATGGGTGTCAGGGGTGAGGATGGGTGTCAGGGGTGAGGATGGGTGTCAGGGGTGAGGATGGGTGTCAGGGGTGAGGATAGGTGCCAGGGGTGAGGATGGGTGTCAGGGGTGAGGATGGGTGTCAGGGGTGAGGATGGGTGTCAGGGGTGAGGATGGGTGTCAGGGGTGAGGATGTGTGTCTTAGGAAGGGATAGGTTTCAGGGGCGGGTATGAGTAGCAGGGACATATGCACAAAATGGAGGCGAGTGGGGTGGATGGGACCAGCCCTCAGCTCTCTCTGTTCTTGGTATTCCTGCTGCACACACTCATATTCATTCATATTCTCTCTCTCTCTCTCTCTCTCTCTCTCTCTCTCTCTCTCTCTCTCTCTCTCTCTCTCTCTCATTAATACCTACAAACTCCTGGCCCAAGTGTGCCCTCTCTGGAGCCACCTAGGTGGTCCTTTCTGTCCTTGGTAGACAGATTGTCCCATCCCATAGTGGCCTGTCTCCTGCTACCTCCCCCCCCCCCATCAAGGCTCTTACCAGCAGGACCAGGATCATGGGGCCCTGGTAGATGTAGTCAGTGTATACTCCAGGACGTTTGCCAAACCAGCACCTAGAAAGCCATGGAGGGAAAGGGAAAGGGGGAA